CCATTCTGTGATTCTGTGATTCTATGAAACCCCCCCAGGCAGCAGCCCCGGTCTCCCTTGAAGCAGGAGGTGGGGTTTGTCCTTCACCAGGTTTATCCCACCCTTGTATAGTCCCAGGGCACTGTTGTCCATGTCCCAGCAGAGACGATGGGCTGGAGCTGGAGGTGCCTGCTGGCTACAGCAGCACGTCGAGCGCAGACAGAGCCTTGCCTGAAGGCTTCTGGCCAAGCTGTTTTATTTTTTCTTTTTTAACTGAAAACTTGTTTTTTGACTAAGCACCTGTTTTATTAACAAGGTCTCATTTGCAGAGCTGGCTGGAAAACCAGACAGCATCAATCCCTGCTGTGCCCTGGGGCAGTGGTATTTTGGGAGCTTCTTGCCCCCATTCTGCTGTGGGGAGGTGACAGTGCCATGGGGCACGCAGGGACACCACAGCACCCGGGGACATGCTCTGCCACGGAGGTGGGAGGATGGGATTTGCCTTACAATGAACTGCCCTCTGACTGGGGGCTGGTAGACTCCGTCGAAGGTGCAGTCCTGGCTCTGGCCGCATGCCGAGAAGTTGAACAGCTTCTTGATGGCAGCCAGGCACCCGCTGGCATTGCCCCTGCCCTCCAGGGTCACGTTCCTGTCACCGAGGGTCAGGCGTGGGTCGCTCTGGTTCGTGCAGGGGCTGGTGCGGAAGGAAGACAGCGAGACGGTTTCATTGTAGTCTTTTGGGTAGCAAGGGTGATCGACTCGCGTGCTGGAGGATGACTCCTGGGAATAGCAAAGTTGCAGGCTGTGGCCTCCTCCAAACCCTCTTGGCGGGCATGCCGGGTGGCAGGATTCACCCAGCCCTCGCCCCAAAGCTTCATCTCCCACCACCTCAGCAGGGAAAGACCCTCCCGCTGTTTAATCCTGGTCTTGTTGGCTGGCTGCAGTCCCAGCCTGAGCTCAACACTAATTCTCACTCTGCTTTGTCTTATTCTCTCTCCCACAGAGGTGGACCAATTTCAGGGACCCAGCGTCTCTCCCCTGGCCAGCAGGATCATGATTCGGGACATGCAAAGCCCAGCTCTCTCTCTAGATCCAGCCCCAGTCAGGGACACCACGTGGAACCTTCCTGGCTGTGCAGCATGAATAAACCCTTCTGGCTCACCAAGGCTGCTTCTCCGAGTAAGGTACAGCTCCATGCAGACCCTCTTCCCCTTTGACCTTCCAAAAAATGGCCTGAGAAAGATCTGGTTCACTTTTCTCAGATCCTTGCAGTCACAGAGTAGTTGAGGTTCAGAGGGAGCTATAAGGTCCCTGTGCCAACCCCCTCCTTAAAGCATGACCAACTAGATGGTGTTGCTCAGAGCCTTGTCCCAAGTTCTAAATATCTCCAAGGATGGCAACTCCACAGTATTTCTGGGTCCTAGTCTGACATTTGAGCGTTCTTATTGGGAAAAACTTCTCCCCTGCATCTGGTTGGAAACTCATATGCTCCAGCTTGTGCCCATTGCCTCTTGTCCTGTCACTTTACACCTCTGAGAAGAGCCTGGTCCTGCCTTTTCTACACCCTGTGTGAGCCAGCTGTGTACAGGCAGAAGATCCCTGCCGAGCCGCCCCTTCTGATGCTTCCTATGGTCCTCTCCACATCTGCCTACCCGTGCTCCAAGGAGTCTGTGCCTGCTGATACCTCTCTGGAAGAGCATTGCCTGTTCTTATTTTATGCATTATCAAGTCTGTGATTGGTACCATGAGACCAGAGTCCAATTGCTCCCTAGTTCCCCTCTCACCACAATTAATTCCTTTGCCAGTCGCTTCACCATCTCGTTCTGCCCATAGCAGAGGTAGCTGTGCGTGTAGATGCTGTAGTTGTACCCATACAGTGTGAACTTGGAGGCTTCATTCCAGTTGATCATTGAACCTTCGGGCACAAAGCTGATTTGAGTGGATGCTCCTCCAAGATCCAGTGCCCCAAAAATGTTGGCTGCTTCTGGACGAACCCACGTGTGTGCTTTGGGGGAGTACTGCCAAGGTGAGACAGGAGAGGAAGAGGAGTAGTACACGGCTTGGCTTGCTTGCCCTGAGCAAAATTCTCATCCCATTGAAGTCAATAGGGGTTTGTTACTGAATTCAATGGGAGTTTAATTCAATTAATTCCACATGTGAGGCCCCACTGCCTTCCCTGCCCAACCAGCCTGGCCATTTATCAGAGCCAGAAAAAAACCTCTGATGGCCAAGATGTGCCAGTGTGCTGCGGGCTTACGTGGCTCTGAGTCACTGGTTCCCAGACCAAAGTGCTGGTGGCGACCTGGCTTGGAAGGGCTGCCCTTCCTGAAGGGCAGGCTGCAGAGGTGTGGGTGCAAGGGGAAGGACAGAAATCTGCCAACAGTCTGTACAGGAGCCCAACGGTGCCAGCATCGCTCTGAGCTGTGGCAGTGCTGGGACAGACGATGGATGGCAGGAAAGAGGTTTGGTTCAAGCTTCCTTCAGTCTGGCACACTGAACCAAAACTGGAGTCTCCCAGTGCCACACAGAGATGGACCTTCCCAGGGCAGCGAGGCAAAGTCCAGCAGGAGGAAACGGTCCCCATCGGGCTGCAGGGCTGACCTCGCTGTCCCCAAGAGACCCTGTGTCCACATAGTGCGGAGATGTGCCCTTAGCTTTTAACAGAGACACCCCCATTCCTGATTTCTCCTTCCTCTTTCACTGTAGGCAAGTCAGAGCATAACTGGCTGCTTCCCCTAGATCAGTCCCAAAAGCCGTTAACCCTGACCTTTCCTTCTGCGCTAAGCAAGCTTAAGAAAAATCAGAAAAACTGTATTAGCAAAGGAGTGGGTGTTTCACCCTTCCCTCACCTTAGTGAAAGAGTCCAGCAGGTAGTTGATGGTGATCCAGCCATAAGCCCCCTCCTCCTCCCCTGTAAGGATATGAGCCCCTTTGAAAGCCATGGGGTACTCTCGCATGGTTTTAGCAACTTCGGCCAGGACTTGATCTGCCGCTGAGCTGTTCTGTTCCCTAAGAAGGACTCAAAGGTCAGGACACATACCCAGCTACATCAATACTACAGAAGACACACAAGGAAACAGTCTCTTTTTTTCGCAGTTCCACATACTCCAGTTTTTTGCAACAGTTTGTGTGAAATGATGTTACCTGCTACATAACAAAGCTGCTCATCCAGCGCAAACCCCAGCTGTCTAGGCTTGGCATCACAAATCTAGGAGCAATATCAGTCCCTTCCCTCCAGTACAGCTTGAGCCTAGTCACACGGAGTTTTGCCAGGCTAACTATATTTTGATAGTGCTGGAGGCCAGAGGGGATTGGGCTGCAAAACCCAAGTCTGAACGTCAGCCACCGACTGCCCCAAAGCCAGGGCTGGTTGCTGAGCTCAAGTGGGTCTTTTGGGAAGGTGCCAGCCTGGTTTCAGACCTCTGAGTGGGGAAGATGCCTTGGAGCTGCTGGCATGTGCTCACCCTCTGAAGCGAGTAACCTTCAGGCTATGGCCCTGCTCCTTCCCAGGGAAGGGGTTTGACTGCCAGGGCACAGAAATAATGTTAGATACCTGCAACCATAAAACCAAGAACCATGAAATGAAAACTGGCATTTGAAGAGAGCTAATATGGGCTAGTCAAAGGGATGTGCAGGTCCTGCAGCACCTCATCGCCTCCTTCCTCTGCTCTGCTCCCCCACCAGCACCCATCCAGCTGGGCAGATGGCACATCCCCTGGTGGCATCTCAACTCCCTGGTGTTTAAGGAATAATGAAGAGCAAAGAAAGAGCTCTGAGAAGCATTTCTTGCTTGGAAGTGGGCATGCAGCACCATCCTGGGACACGGGGTCCCAGGATGCCAACAGACACCTCTGAGCAGCCTCTCTGCTCCAGGGCCGGTTGCTCAGGACAGCTCAGCCACCCATGTATCCCCACTGAGCTGCCTTCTCCCCACTCCCCTGTCACAGCAACATGCGAGCTGGGAGCTCCCGGCAGCCTGGCCCCGTGCAGGACACTGTGTCCTGGCAGTGGCTGCTCGCAGCTCGGTCACTGCTCTGTTTCCCCCACACCCCACAGTGATACCTCAGTAGCCTCATGCCTGCCGTTGCTCCGAGATAAGTTGGGACATCTCTCTGTTTTGCAGCAGGAACAACCTTCAGGGCTTTATCCAGGCATTCCCTTAGGGAATCACCAGCTTTCGGGGGATCGTTGGCATAGCTTGATATGCCTTGCCCTGGAAGAAAGTCAGGCTGGGACAGGCTGATAGGAACGGCTGGGGACAGGGATGTGGGCACAAGAGGGCAGAGGGCAGTTGAGGTCTGTCATCTCTCAGCAACAAAGGGTCCTTTTCCAGGGTCTCTTGGTCTCCCAAGAACTGACTGACCCACACCTATGTTCCTCTCCTGTGGCTTCCCCATGTCTCCCATGCTTTCAGCAGTGTCCCCAGCTCTATGGGTGAGACCTTCCCCAGCCAGGACAGCAGCTTGGGCAGCTGGGGACAATCCAAGGTAGAAGAATGAAAATCCAGAGCAACACCAAGGTGCTTCAGTCCCACCAAGCTGGGCATGACATGGTGCTGAGGGCCCTCCAACCATGAGGGAAGTCAGCGGGGAGTCACAGGGACCATCCTGCCTGCAGCCAGGGCTCCCACCGTGCCAACAGTGACAGCCCCATGGATAGAGCTGCCCAGTGTGGGCTGGCCAACAAAAGGAAGGGCCAGGTCATCCCACCCACCACCAAACACGCAGGGCACCACCGAGCCCATGGCAGGGGGATACTGACCCTGGACATCACAGGACAAGGTCTGGCTGACCACACCGGTGTCGTTCTCCTTGTCCGAATCCCACTTGTAGACAAACAGAGAGGTGTGGGACGAGCCTGCATCAAACACCATCCCATACTGGAAAGAAAAACCAAGATGTCGCACTGGCAGGGGGGGGGGGGGCGCGCCCCCGGGCGCCCCA